ACACACACACACACACACACACACACACACACACACACACACGCGCGCGCGCGCGCGCACACACACACACACGCACACATACACGTGCACGTGCACGTGCGCGCGCATTTGCGCATTAGACCTCCCCCTCTCACTCTCTTCTTGCCCTCAAAGGGCCTCAAGTGTGACGGTGTTTGCCTCCCTCCGCATAGCCTTCTCCATCTCTTGTCCGTCCGTTTAGAAATACAAATTTCGACGGCAAGGCAAGGGGGCTGAGTGCGGCGCTGTTGCGCATCCGGCGGCGATGATTCGTTGCCGTTTCGTGTTTAACTTAATGAGTGTGAGTCTGTCGCAGGCCTGACGGACAGAAACCCAAAAATGTACTCCCTTGGCGTAGGAGGAAACTCGTTTGTGTGACTGATGCGGGGGGGGGAGAGAGAGAGAGAGAGAGAGAGAGAGAGAGAGAGAGAGAGAGAGAGAGACGAAAGCGAAGTTGGAAATAGGGAGAGGGAGGAGGGCAGCAGAAGAAAGATGAACTCAAGGGCGGAGGTAGAGTCAAGGAGAAAGGGGAGGAGGCGAAGTTCGCGGTCACTGCGCTCCATTAGCCGGCACAATGGGGCGTTTGCAGCGCATTGGGTGCGGAGTTGAAGCCCGGAGAGGAAGGGATGATAGGCGGACTCCAGCGCACGGCGACGTTGAAAAATGGCACGCCTGACCGAGCGGGAGGCTGGAAAACTAGCTGGTAGTTGTCGTCGTTACGTACCCTTGCTCCACGTTGCTTACGTTCGACAGGTTTGCAGGTTTACGCAGGCAAGGCAAACGTAGTTTCAGAAGACATCGACAGCTTAGCTGTAGTGCAACCAGAGAGCCTTATCTCGCGGAGAAGAAACGGCAAGGAAGGTCTAGAAGCCTAGTGGGTAGCGCGAGATAGCCAACCTATACGATACATGCATTAACTCGCACGTCGGGTGGCTGACTTATTCATTGTCATTGATTTTACTGACGCCCTTCGTGACTTAGTGGGCGATCATTCCTCTGCATACCTAGCAGGCCTTTCCTCCGCGCCCTTCCGCGCACCCTTGCGCCCTTCCGCCCTTCCTTTCTCCGCCTACGTTTCCGCCCTCCCCATCGACCATCCCTCCGCCCCTGTTCCTCCGCCCATTGATCTTTCGTCAAACAACGATACGAGTTGCGGCGGCCACAGTCGTCGCCGCTTCCCTTCTCAATTGCCACGCCGGCTCCAACGATACCCTTAGGCATCACAGAGCCAGCGATACAAAAACATATCGACAACAGAGCGCGCGCGCACACACACACACACACACACACAGCGACCAAGCGAGAGAGAGAGAGAGAGAGAGAGAGAGAG